ATTAGGTTCGGCTCATGTGAAGTTTGACGTTTGACCTGAGCCTAAGTAATGTATAGTTACATATGATTTTTTTTTTCAGGACTTCAATGTCAAGCAAGACTCTGATCTTCAAATGGTTTGTCCCTTTCAGTCTCATTTTCCTTTTTCTTACCTCCCTCYTCTTCAACTTTGTCTTGTCTTTCGCTTTCTTTTTTTCACGTTGGAGCTCTTTTCTTGCCCACCCAAATGAGTAACGAAATCGAATCTGACACATAAATGAGATATTTCACAGCCACCAGTAGTCACCATGCAGAGGTAAAATAGACCTCCTCGGCTCGGCGTAATGTTGTCCCATTTCAGGCCACGTGTCATTCCCTTGAGAATAATATTCTTTGTTTGAGTTGTATCCATATTCATGTGTYTTCTCATGTGCAACCGAACACAAACCTTAAACAAAGAAATGATGCTCAAGGGAATGACACTTGGTCTAAAATGGGGAAACATTACGTCAGAGGCGAGGAGGTCTATTAATAAGTGTTTTTAACGGCTGTTTTTGAGAGGGAAATTCCCTAGAATTGTTTGCTAATGCCCACTCACAAACATCTCTTCATCTGGCTTTATTTCTAATCAAATTATTTTGACTTGAATGAACAAAAATAAGAACAAGAATTATACAATTTTAGCTGAATGTCATCCAATTTCTATTATATACTTTTTTACTCTCATTTTTCTTTCAGTATTTTACAGTCAGTAGCTCCTTAGCTGAAGATGGAAGCCGATTAGAGGAATCTGATCTGGAGATAATCATGGATTTGTTCAGGTGGGTTGTTTGTGCAATAGATCTTTTCACCTTGGGGGTAATGTGTCATGCAATCCCTAGAGTATCATATCTTTGTTTGACGTTTGCGCATGAGAAGACACAATATAGATACCACTCAAACAAAGATGAGAATGACACGTGGTCTGAAATGAGAAAGAGTTATATATATATATTGTCATTTATTTATATATTGTTATATATTTACAYACGGTACAACAATTAAAATTGTCTGGTTGGAGGAGCCAAGATCATGATTTATCTTTGGTTTTTTTTTACTAGCCAAAAACGTCAACGAATATTTGAGGGCTGGCTCAACTGCATCTCTGAAAGTTCAAACGTATTTAATGAATACATATTTTCCATTATTGTTTTGTTTGTTTAGACAAGTAATGGCCATACATCGCAAGGACCAGAGTGTCTGTCATCAGGCATTACGACTCTTACAAGATCTGGCTCCAAGGTTCAAAGAGTCCAACGGCGAAACAAGGAGAGTAGCTGCACACATGATAAGGGCCTTCTGGTATGGATATCTGTTGAACATTATTCGATTGAATGAAATAAAGAAAGAAAGTAGAGTGATGAACGCACGGACGGACGGACGGACGGACAGACAGACAGACGAAGGAACGAAGTATAGAGTAGAGTAGAGTAGAGTAGTAGAGTTGTAGGGTAGTAGAGAAGACGAAGGAGCGAAGGAACGAAGGAATTATGAAAGAAGAAATAAAAGAAGGAGAGAGGAAGAAAAGGAGGGTGAGAATAGAAAAAGAAAGGAAGAAGCAAAGAATTAGGTGGAAGGTAGGGAGAAAGAAAAGTATGAAAAGAAAGAGGTAGCGAAGGAGGAAGAAGTTAGTAATCAAGAAGATCCTGCCCACGCGATTAAAGCGGGCGGGATCATCTTCGCGACGTCAAAATAATGGTAGGTTTTGAAAGTAATGCTTTCATGACTTTGTTTGAAGGTCACGTGCGTATGTATTGTCATGGAAACGCCTTTTTTTGCCATGCACTTAAACCTACTTTGTCGTCGTGTGAACAATCCGCCAGGTTATTGAGTATATATACAAAATAGGCCGCGAGTAATACTGGGTCATCAGAATATTTTTTTTAAAATTTTATTTCACAGGACATTGAGGGAAAGTTATGCGTCTCCTCTCAGGCGTATATTGACTACGTGTATGCAGGCATATTTGAAGGTAAGGAAATACAGACAGACAGACAGACAGACAGACAGAAACAGACAGACAGACAGACAGACAAAATTATGGGATATCCTCTCCGATATTTTTTTCAGAAAGCCCTAGTGATAGCTCGAAAAAAATTACGGATCAGATCCCATAATTTTTTGATATACCTTTGATATATTTGTATATATGTACAAAAGGGTCAAAGTTTATGCAAACCTCAGTATATATTTAACAATTATTCGCCGAAGGCGAAGTGAATATCGGAGAATATTTACCGAGACGCGAG